TTTATTTATCCATATACGATTTATCACAATGGGACTTAACCATAAATGCCACACAAGAAGTACTGAAGTATGCGCTAATGTCTTTGTTAAATATTAGGATGGATGGATCCATGCTTTCTTGTTATTTACACCAAATTCTGGTGCCTAAATGCAGTGAGCTTCTGCAATGTTATTGTCTGATTAGATGTTTTTGTTAAAGAGTAGTTGAATAAGTGTATCTAATAAAGTGGCAGGTGAGTGTATATTGTGATTAGATCAAAAAAAGGTGACTAACCTGTTTGGCGCTGAGGAAAATAAAGGTCCGGCCACTGTAAAGCTGTTTGCGAAGTGGAACCGCTCCAAGATTAACATCGTCTTTATTCAAGCTGGGCTCATCGATCTCAGGAATGAAGCTTAAAAAACACAGAGAGAAGACGGCGTTGAGCTCCGCTTCAGCGTTGCCGTGTATCCATGGGAATGGTTTGTACTGTACCTCTCGGCTTTAGGAGGCGGTAACTTCTGCTGAACAGCTCTGCTGAGCTCTGAGAAGAACTCTGGCTTCACGATGGGACAGCAGCACAGCAGAGCAGAAATGGTCTAATTAAGAAAAAAAACAAAAACAAAAAAGTAACGAACAAACATGCCACAGGAGCTAGCGATGGTACAAAGTCGGGTCCTGACCTTAATGGTAACTTTAACAGAAGACATAACCAGGTGGGTGCAGTCCTGAGACCAGCTGCTGACCAGCTTTCCACCCAAAGCTAGCACGGCCTGAGAGAGCGACGCTTGGCCATCGTTGTCCAAACACGATGAACACACGACTGGCTGCAGATGAACCACACTAACACAAAGAGGACACGGTGATTGAGATACAACCAACCACAATCAGAACGTTTTATTAATCCAAGAGAAAATAACGAGGTCACTGTTGCGCCAAGACAGTAAGAACAGCAACAAACAAGTACAAATAATAAATAATATGACAAAACAGCTCTCATAATAGTATAGCTAACCAAAGTTGAAACTGAGCTTGTTATTTTTTGTATGCATGCGCAGATAAAACAATCCTTTTAGAATTCATACAACTATACATTGTACATTGTACAACTATACAACTCATGTATGAGTTGTATAGTTGTATGAATTCTAAAAGGATTGTTTTATCTGCGCATGCATACAAAAAATAACAAGCTCATGTATGAGTTGTATACCCTACTTGCCAACACCAGTAGGCAAGTAGGGTAAAGTGTCTTGCCCAAGGACACAACGACCAGGACAGAGAGCCCAGGGATCGAACCGGCGACCTTCCGGTTACAGATGCGATTCCCAACCCCCTGAGCCACGGTCGCCCCATTATGAATGAATGATGAATTTTTATGAATTATTATGTCTATTTTTTTATGTTTAAGGACAACAGATAGCCTTTGGCTATAATCTGGCATGTTTACATTCATGCAATTTTTTTTTTACATTTATGTTCATTAACATCCACTGTCCTAAATAAATAAATAAATAAATAAATTAGCTTTTGTAAAAGTTCTCAAAAAGTTGATTCTGTTCATCTGGATGTAGCATTTTCAGTGGGGGAAACGTTTCATCACTCATCCAATTGACCTCTTCAGTCTCAGCTGACTGCAGGTTTCCCCAACCTTATAAACAGTACATTGCACAATGACTGAAACTAGCACCACTGAATGAATAATGGGCTGGGAGGTCAGTTCCTTGATCATTAATATGCAAATTCTCATGACCATGAAACATTTCTCCCACTGAAAACGCTACGTCCAGAACAGAATCAACCTTTTGGGATTTACTTACCTGGATGATCAAGCATGCATTAAGACATTGTGTAAAAATTCAAGAAATATAACCATATCTCTTCTGCATACCTGAATTTGCTTTGAAAAACCCCAAAAGTCACTAAATCCCCTGATTTCAGGTTCACCGGTGTTGTAATCTGTTGGTTGTTGACAAATGTACCATACTTGGAGGTGTCTTTCAGAGTCAGCGTCTAAAAAGCAGAATACATGAGAGCAATCATCACATGTTCAATGTCTTTACTGAAGATCGGTCTCAGTATTGCTATCAGCGTTCATCATCTGACCAAATGTGTTGACTATGAGCCAGACTCCATCACTTTGCTGATTAGATATTAATGTGAAATAATTAATGCATTCTTGAATTATGAATAAAACCCTTTTTGGGAGGTCACGGTGACATCCAAGGGAGATAAAATGGCACAGAAGTTAAACTGTAATGAAAGTCAAGCTTTAATAGACATTTTTATCATTTTAGATAAAATTTAATTTTATGTTTTATAGTCCAGCAGGTTTATGAATGTATCAATAAAAGGCATCAAGTAAACAGAAAGAGAAAGAAACAAATTCAGAAGCTTCTTAAGGCAAGCAACAAGAAACCACACAGATCTGGCAAGCCAAACAATCCATATTTGGCAGCTGATAAATACTGTGGGAGCTCCACGCGAGTCTCAGAAGAACAAAACAATGTGTGAGCATGTAGCAGTTTTTTAAAATTGCAATTAAAATGACATCATATGTGTTTTATTTTGCAAGTGCATCACTCAGCACAGCTTGCATAGCTTTTGGTAAAAACCAAATGGAGAATTTCTTAGACTGCACAACAATTACAGCTGAGTGGTGGCATGATTTACTACATTCAGGCCTAGTAATGTAGGAGTAGCGCAGCAGCACCACCTTCTGCACCAAAGTGTCATCATGCAGGCAAATATTTCACTGGTGCTTCAAGGAATACCAAGAGGATTTTTACTGATGTTCTGGTAAACCAGGAAAAAGACAAAAAAAGTCACTAAAATGTCTTTGCTTCCTTAACATTACATATAATAAATATGTCTCAGCACAAGCTGGATTAAAGTTTAGGAATAGGCCCTAAGGATAGATTTAAAACAGGCTGGTAAAGCAGCAGATCTGACACAACGGGGTAAACTCTGAGAAACATTTGAACCCCTGGATTTGGGCTTCGTTAAATGCCTCTAAAAGCATGATGTGAAGGAGGGTGTTCACTTAAGTATTTAAAAACAAGTAATTAAATCTTAAAATCTATCAGAAAAATAACTGATAGTGTGTTCTTCCCAGTTGAAATGCAAGCTGCAGCATTTTGAAACAGCTGCAAAACTGCAATGGAAAACATTAAGACCAGCATCTACATTAGTCTAGCCTTGATCAAATAAAAGCATGCAAGATTTAAAGATTAAAGCTTGTTGTCATAGCAGTAGCAGGGTTTGTGTTGTTACACCGCAAACAATGAGTAAAAGGGAGTAAAAAATGCACATTTAAAGCCCAGGACAGCACAGCTGTATTTGATTGCAACAGATTTCACTTGTGTACCTAATAAAGTTACCACTGAGTGTGTATAAACTGTATATAAACACTACAACTGTTTGTTCTCTGTTCATACCACCTGATCCTTTCCCTGCCTTGTCTCACCTGCTCTGTAGCACTTAGGTGAGCGTGAGCCCTGCTGATAGACTGGTCACTCGGAAGAAGAATGTCACAATTCTTTCGGCCCACCACGTACGCTTTACCCGAGAGGAGATAGCAGGCCTCAGCTGTGAGTGACAGACGGCAGGTTAGTGATTTTCTTATCTTTTCTTCAACTTAAAAGTTATCCCCTTTTGAAGTTTTGCATCCAGGAATTTTTAAAGAAAATTGTACATTTTATCTTGTAACAAACAAAACGTTATCGCAAAATGATCCACATTCTTTATATCTTTGATATTTGTTTTCTGGGTAAAATCAAAATTCCCAGAACAAACCTGTTTTTTGTTTTGTTTTGGGTTTTTTGTATAAATAACTGAGGGTCATGTGATAGAGCACATGACTGACAAAGCAGCGATTAAATCCTCTTCTACCTACAGGTTACCTGTGGTGTAAGAAGTTGTGCTCCTACTGTAAATCAATCCATACATAAATCGTATTAATTACATATTCAGGTCATTAATTAGAAAAAAGGTTTGAGTTTTTGACTTTGACTGCTGGAAACATTTAAATTCAGATCATTTGACGTCTTGTTTATAGTTGCTACCATTAATTTCAACTTCCCATAAGCTCATTTAGAACCAAAGCATCATGCTTAGATAACACATTAACCTGTTTAGCAACATTAAATTAACACAGAGTATAAACACATGACAGCACAGCAAACATGCAGCCTAACGGGCTGCTAACCAGACAGATGCCTCCTGTGTGAACCATGCTTTAAATGCTTTAATCTAGTGTTTCTCAGATAGCTGCTAACTCCATCATCAAGGTGCTAACTTTGCCCGGCCTGCAGCGTCATAAATAAAGCTTCTATAAAACGCCGTCATGACACGAAATGTTACCTGTAGGCTGCTGCTGGGGCGTCAGTATCCACATTATACTGCCCTCTGTTGCTTTGGCATATATTAAAACTAGCCGCAACTCAGAAATAAAGCAATGTTTTCAGCAAACAGTTAAGAACAACTATTAACTCGCCGGACCGCTTCACCCTCGCCACTGTGTCGTCATAACTATGCGCCGCGCTTTCAAAATAAAAGTTCGAAAACTGCGTTTCACTCTCGAAAACTTTAAACACTATCTGATAAAAATTTAGAATAAAAGAAAAAAAAATTAGCTGTGCATATATACAGAGAGTGTCTCGTCTTGACCCACAGTGATCATAGAAGCACAAATATAATGACTCCCATTAGCTGTTTCTACACCACAACCATACCGTACCTTAGAAAATTAGGAATTTGAATCAATAAATAAATTAAATATAAAATGCTGGAATAAGTGTGGAAATAACCATTGCGATCCTTTATATTTTCAAAACACTGACCTCTCTTCAGTTGCCGACTTTTGCTCTAAATACCAGTTAGAAAGCTAGAGAAGCCATTGTGCAGTTTATAAACACTATGGTTACAGTTAAGTGTTTGAAAAATAACAAAGAAATATATTTATATAAAATAATGACACAGTAACAAATTTGAAAAAGCCATAAATCAGATATATTGTAGATTTTATTTGATCTTAAAAGGTGAACCAGACACATGTAACACATTTAAAGTGACAGTTCAATAACAAACGTCAAAATATTAAAATGACAAATATAATTATTAATATAATACGGCGAAACAGATATGGAGGTAATTGCTTTTTTGTGTAAAATTGACTAGTTTATGATAAACTAAAACCAATAATTTATTTAGTTATTCTTAATAAGTATCACATTTTATCTATTGTTATCTTTGGTTTTATTTGCTGAATTCAAAATAAGGGATCGTTGTCAGATTTCCACGGCTGCCCTGCAGCTGTCCTGAGACGGCCTTGTCCCCAGAGGCACGGCAGTTTGTGATTGACTTTCATCACTGCAACGCTGGTGCAAGAATCTGGCTTACGGATGACCTCGCACCAATCTGGATAGTCCACAGGCTGAGATCCACTGCAGGAAAGATTAGTGTTTAGTTATGTTTAGCCACATCAAAATACAGTCTGTGCTTGTTGGTGTGTGTGTGTGTGTGTGTGTGTGTGTGTGTGTGTGTGTGTGTGTGTGTGTGTGTGTGTGTGTGTGTGTGTGTGTAAGGAAACTCACTGGTCACAGCATCCCACTCCGAAAGGCTCCATGCAAACACACTGGTAGCAGTCACTGGTGATCCAGCTTTCTCCTATCCCGTACATCTGTCCCATGTGTTCACAGGTCCCTTAAAAATGACAAACATGAGAAAGAGAAGATGAAGATTAAATAAAACTCATTCCATGCCGTTACATTCAAAATTTACGAGAATAAGTATATATATTAAAAATGTTCATCACAGAATTAAATTATATTTAAAAAAATGGCTAAATACTTTTTTTTTGCAGTTTTAGAAGTTAACTACACAAGAACAAAAAAAATGCTATAAAACCACTTTAAATGCAGCTTTTTCCCTCCTGCACTTCACTGAATTACCTTCTCTCAGGTATAGATGCTCTGAATGTTTGTGTAAAGAAAACTGCAACCTCTTCATACTTTGTAGCTTATTACATTAGTATGCATCTGAAGCTTTTGAACCAATCCTGTTATAAAATGTGCATCTGATGAGCAACCACAGCACACAGACTAAGTGGATGGAGACATTCAGAAAACATTAGGTATGAGCACCAAAAAAAAAAGAAAAAAGAAAAAGTGTCTAATTACATAATGTAGGATATATGATACCTTTAGTGTTGAAGAAGCATTCGCCACTGCTGTACACAGAAAAGCATGGAACAGTGGCACTCAGGAAAGACAGTAGAGCCAGGAGCATACTTGCTGTGTTTGCCATTTCTGAAAATAGAAGAAGTGCAAAGGTTAAAGAAACACCATGAACACATCAGTCTGACTCAGGTTCATCAACTCAGTACTCAGGTTGATGCTCTCACTCGGGTTGAAGTTTCCAGCACTGTGTATAAAAATGTTCTGATGCTGTATTGTCTCTCAGGTCTCCTCTGCGCGTCCTCCTTCTGTCATCCACCCTCTTCTTGCTTCTTCCTCCGTCTCCTCCTCAGTGCCCCTCCTGAACTGATGCACTCTCTCCTCCTGGTCTCTCTCTATTTATACCGCAGCAGCACGTTCCCCCCCCCCCCCCCCCCTTTTTTTTTATCAGAACACACTCACTTTCTACTTTCTTTGTTGCCATGTGTCCACAAACCTCCCACTCATTAATTACCAGCAGATGTTTACGGCACATATACACCACACACACATTATATGCACACACAACAAGCACATTTGTTGCAGTGTTTGTCATTCCCCCTTGCACTGCTTTGCAGACAGTGCCCATGAGTATACAGTGTGCACTCTTTCAGATAACATTTGTTTCATGGGGTGCCATTTGACTCTATCTGTAGATCGTGCTGATGACACCCTATATAGGACAACCAGGCTCTGGACTATTGTCTAACATACGAGCAGCTACATGCGTGTGCATGAGCAAAAACATAAACCTTTGACCCCGCTGCTAAAGAAGTAATATGAAAGGACAGGTTTGTTTCTTTATAGTTAAGGACTGATATCATATTTTAGCCTTCAAACAGAGATCTTGGCTGATTGTCTTTTGCTTACAAATGACTAATTTTAAAAGTCACTGAAGCATGTCACTTGCTTTATTCAATTTCATGTCCTTTAATTAATGAATCATCATGGGAACAACATTAGTCCAAATAGGATTTCAAATGATTCAGTGAACTTTATCTAATTTTTCTTATAAAAGTCTCTTCATGTGTGGCGTGCGTCATTGTGGGGTTTATTTTAGGAACACAAGAGACAACGCAACATCTAACAATATCTGAAGGCCGCCTGATTAAATTTGAGCTCATTATGTTTTTTCTTCTTTGTTGTGGGTTGTGTTTGAAGAAGCCACCTTGAATCCTGTGATAGCATAAGCTCATATGTGCACACACACACACACAGACACACACACACACTCACACACACACACACGCACACACATGCGCGCGCGCACACACACACTGCGATTTTTTTTAACCCTCGTTCATCTGATCGGCCATTGGCTAGTCATATTTGATTTGAAGCATAGGAACAGTGTACGTGTGTGAGTGAGTGTTAGAGCTATATAAGAACCAATCTGTCTTGATGTCAGAAAAGTTTTGTTCAAAAAAACAAACAGTTAGAGTCAATGTAATCCATTGTAATACACTTACACGTACTTAAATAAAAGTAAACAGAGGTGTTAGCTCTGTTTGTCATAGAGAAAATCATTTTATTAAACCTGTCCCAGGAATGCACCCACAGCAAAGTACTGCTATGCTGAGTTAATGGGAATTCTCACACTGGAAAAACTGACATTTAGCTTACATGACTTTATTGAGGGATTGGTGACAGTTGATCACAGTGGACTGGAATTTTTGTGCACTGTCTCATCATAGACTTATCATCCAACAACTTTTCTGCTGGTCGTTATGGGCGAGGGCTCTGCTTTATTGTGTTTGTCAGTTTGTTAAGTCTACCTTTAAAAAAATTGAAGGGAGCAATAATCACAAAGTACGGTATGATTCGTTCATAGGGAGCACGTCCATTATCTAATTGAAAACCTGCAAAATATAAAAAGAAATTAAAAAAGAAAGAATGAAAATAGGAGATAACCATCTTTCCTACCGGCTCCACCAGTTTTGCATTTGACACATTCCTTCCAGCCTATTCATATAAGATATTGCATAATAAAATGTCCTTTGAGGAATGCAGTGGGTGGACTCTTTGTTGAAGTCAAATTGCATGATAATACTATGTACAACGACAATAAAGGCTATTCTATTCCATTTTATGGGAAAAGATACTTAATAGTCAGACATTAAATAAAATAAAATTTCGCATTTTGCATTCCTACCAGAAAAAAATGGGAAAAGAAAATCTCCAGGAGAGCAGATGGGGAACCAGAATATTACCTAAAGTCCTTATATTTTGTTTAATTTTTTTTTCAATTGTTGAAATGTAAAAAATAAATAAATAAATGATTGGAAGAATAAAGAGGAGGACGTGAAAGACCTGACTTCTTCTCTGGTAAGACAAACACTGACAGCAACGCCTATTTGCTCATGAAGCAGGATGTTTCCATGCAGTCAGATCCTCGTTTAAAGAGAAAACAAACAAAAAAAACCAAACAATGCACGTCTTTACTGTGTCAGCTGTTTGTAACAAGATTGTAATTGTGTACTTGTGTACATGCCTGTGTGTGTTTGAGAGAAAGAGTGGACAGACAGCTGAAGCCGATATTCACTCATTTTTTTTATTTGCGTCATTCAGAGTATAAAGAGATCATTCTCAAGCTTAATCATTTACGTATATATTTTAAAAATTTGCTATTTAAGAATTGCAATCATGTACTTGTAAAGATTTCCATTGGCGCCATATTTATTTTGCAGAACGTCTCACGTCACACAGGCCTTTTTTCAGGGATGAAGCAAGGTCAGAAGTCAGTGCCGGACTCTGTAGGAATATGTCTGATATTTAGTTGACATTATAAAGCACAAGAACAACCGAATATCAAACATATCACACAGCTTCTGGCAAACCAGGAAGAATCCTGCAGGCTGGAAAAACCTGTTGCACAAAAGAAACATGAGGCAGTGAGGTAAAAAAAAAATTAGGAAGTGACAAACATCGCATAATCAGTCAGATTGTTGAGCTGAATTTAACTAATACTGACTTGAACAACCTTCTCCAGAAAGAAAAAGACAGACCAGAGGCCCAGAGGGCGAGGGAGCCAGAGATCGTGTTGGCATTTGAGATCAGCGTCTCTGTTAGCTTCAGGAAATACAGTTGGTGCAAAGGCAAGAGAAGAGGAATGATCTACATAAAGAAACACTCTTAATAGCAATGAAACAAACAAAAATAAAGATACTCACTCATTCTCTCTATGCGCAGGTGGAGTCCCAGCATCCCATCAGCAGGTCCTTCGCAAAACTGGCATGCTGATTAATAAAAAGTAGAAAAATAATAAAAATGTTGTCGAATGTGTGTGAGTCTGTGAGCCTGTCCCCAGTGGGACAGCATTTATATATATGCAGTCCCTTGATTTGGGGGGGGGGGGGGGACCACCAACATCCACTCTTTCAGTAACACACACTCTGTGTCCCATGTAATTAAAGGTATATTGATCAGCTGCTGTGGCCTGCAGTCTTTCCTCCCCACATTAGCTGGATCAATAGATGTAATGTTCATCCCACTGTGAGTACACACACACACACACACACACACACACACACACACACACACACACACACACACACACACACACACACTGACATGAGTGCAGAGTCAAATAACACTCAGTTATTGCCTGTAGGGAGGACAAGAGTGAATGTGACGGTCATTTCAGTAAAGTCACAGGTCGTATCTAAGATTATCTTTAAAAATATAAATATATTTAAAACAAATAAAACTTCTAAATTATGTTTGTTTGCATTGAACATGGTTACAGGAGGAAAATAAAATCCTTTTAAATATGTTTTCCGTCATTATTACAATAATCGAGAGCATCTAAATGTGAAAGCAGTACAAGGTAATTTTTTGTCTGAGAAATACCCAATTTTATTGTATTAAGCAGAACTTTAAACAATATTACCTTAATTTCAAACTCCACATCAATTCAAAGGCAAAAAGTTGACTTTTACTTCAAAATGTGAACACTGTTTAGTGTCCATGGATCGACATTCATTAAATAGCTCTGTTATGTTTTCAATTGCTTGATATTTTTATTTTAACGTGAGAATGACTGTAAAGTTTAACTGGTTCTGCTAGACTTGTGACATTGAGGCAGACTGAGGATTGACTCTAAAATCTCAGTGACCTCCAGCTGTCAGTGTGACCTCTGAATGTCAGGGTGGTTTGTTATAACTTCCACTTTGTGTTGGACGACTCTTACATATTTTTGCGCTAAACATAAAACAGCGTCATCGCCTACAGAGAATCTGGCTATTTTTTTTAACACAGGTGCATTCTTAATTGTACATTTCTGCTCATACACATCAAATCACACACTACAGTTTACGTTTATGACATCAGTCAGATTAAATGTCCCTTGCTGCCGCCTCTGTATCCTCTCCTGGTATGACGCCGACCTTGTCAGCCTATTGGGGCGGAATGATAGCCCCTCGATTGCCTAATTGTGAGCCTGGGGGAGTGTTTTAATCTCCAGCAGATGGCTGGCAGTGTGAAGCAGAGTGAGAGATGACAGGGTGATACAGAGGAAAGTGATTTTAAAAATGAATTGCATGAGATTTAACAAAACAACTAACATCCTTTGCATTACTAAAGACAAAAGAGTTTGCTTGAAAGCCTTTTTATAGTGCCCTCATCTCAAAGACCTAAGAGGAAAATTACATCCCTTTAGTTTAGTCCAAGTTTTTCTGTTTTCTAATAACATGTTTAAGGATTAAGAGTTAATTTAAGTTAATCTGAAAGAGGTTTCAGTTTAGCTGAAGTATTAGTTTTGCTGTGTTGCTGATAAGATTGCAGAACTAAGACATTGCTTGCAGCTTGTCTTAGTCCGACAGAAAAAGGATCACAAGAGTTTGAAAACGTGCTGATTCTGTGCTTTTATAAAAAGGGGCAGATAACATCACTAACAGTAAATCACTTTAAACACAAATTACAACCAATGAAGTGATTTTGTAAACCTGATCATGCAGTAACCGATTGTTACATGCAGTCATGATTAAATTTAATGGGACTGATCTCATATATAATCACTTCTGTGCAACTGCTTAACAAATCTAAAGGAATAGCAGACCTTCTGTAGGATTGAGCTGCTACGTCCCTGATTTGACACCAAGTGAGGACTTCTGTCACATGTCATTTTACACCTGTCTCTTCACCTCTTGTCTTCTCTCTGCTCTGGTTAAGTTTCTAGTTAAAGGATAAAATGCTTTAAAAAAAAACAACCCTTTAATAATAAAGTCAATTCATGAATGCTGAACCCGACAGACAGACACCCTTAAATGTTCTCATCTCTGAGTAAGACTTTCAGTCAATCAACTCTTCATTTCAA